ATTTAATAAATTCGCCAAGAGAAAAGAACCTACTCGGGTCCTGAAAGCGGCAATGGCTGTCGTAACGAAAGAAGAAAAACTTCGTTTCGTAGGCCCTCGCATTGCGAGGGTAACTGTGTATCCCCGCTTCTATAGTAGGTCGTATGGACAAGTAATAAGAATCCTTGTCCTTGCTCTTTTTCAAGTAATACGAGCAGCCGAGCTCCACCGCGATTAGCTCGCCCAACCCGTTCTCACGACACGCGATGTACATGGCAACAGCAATAACATACGCGTTTAGAGTAAGTTGCATTGGCGTAATCCCAAAGTGATCCAGCAACGACCTGACAAAAGGGTGGAAGGGGATCAACCCCCCACCCTTAAAGATCTCCTCGAAGATCGCGGCCATCCCGCTTGACGGGTATCGCGATGAGTGGGTCCTATCACGAAAAACTTTCACATCGACACCATACTGCTTTGTCACTCTCTCAAGCTCTTCCCCGGTGAGTACCGAGTAGACCTCAAGAGTGACACTCGGAGCATCCTGCAAGGACAAACCGGTTCTTTCCTTGGATCTGGTTGTTGAGAGGTCCATTCTGTTGGTCTGCAAAAGCGATAAGCAGGAGGGTCATTTAGCCATCGTACGCAGTTTCGTATGATGACGTGGAGGGAAACAAACTCCCTAAAACCTAGAGAAAACCCTAACAGCATGATTCGAGCTGCCATTCATGGCTCGAACCCGGCATGAGCGTCACGTCTCCAATGAGTTATCGGAAGACTAACACCATTTACCAACTATGGAGAATAAGAAAACAAAAACAGAGAAAGATTCTTACCTCTCAGAGCATGAAAATAGCTTCTGCTTCAAATATCGAAAAAACGCTAGTTTGGAAGACAAAGGTTCCAAGCTTGCGAAAATCTCTTGCTCTCTGTGCAAAAGATGAGTGTGGTGACATTGCCTGAGAAAGATATGAGTTTTTATAGTGCATTAAACGACGCTTGTTTTTCTCGGAATCAAAACGACGTTTGGGCGGTAAATTTTCTCACTGTTGATCACGACCACGTGTCGCAAATCAGTGAGGAAGAGTGAGCGTCACGATTAAAGGAAAAATCAAATCTTCATCTTTTCCGTTGAAAAACTCAAGCGACAGCACTCTCTCTCTCTTAGCATTAATTGTGCCCCAATCTGCATTTAATGTTGTGATAAGGGTTATCGTTTCAGCATGTCACACATTTAATATTCTGATAAAGTGGTACCGTGTCAGCATACAATGCATTTAATGCGCCTGGCTGGCACTTATCACGCACAGGACACGTCTGTCAGCACAGAGAATGATTCATTAAATGCTCACATACCTAAAGTACAACAGGTAACGCCTGACGAAGTCAGGTCGCTCATCCTTAACAAGCAATGGCCATGCGAGGTCGTGTTCGCAAAAAGTGCTACCCCGACCTATTTTCAAGCAGGTCGGAATCACTAGAATTCCAGAAAGCATCCAATCGCGGCATGACTTATAGTTTCCAAGGTTCGATCCTCAAACCTTAAAAACTAGGAGTCTTCTGTTATGCCTGAAAAATATAAGGGTTGACGTAAAGCCCAGTCAGCGTGCAAAAGTCAGAACATAGGTACACCCGCAGCTTGCTTCTGTTAGAATATTGGGTGCGCGCCAGACCATCCAGAAGCTGTGGTGATCCCACGTGTTCAATCCCTACGCCAAATCGCGCAAATCACTCTAGAAGGTGGGCAATGTGACATAAAGAAGGATTTGCATGGATAATCCCACCAACTCACATATTCAGTAATCATTGCCTCAATGTATCCTACTATAAATAGAGAGCTTCTCTCCCGTTTGTGGGATTGGCTCATTTTTACTCTTGATTAGCTACTCTCTCTCTATAATTTATAGCATTCACTCGCTTGTACTATCATTTGTAAGTCAGTAAGCTAATGCGACCTGACCCCTATCATTAATAAAATAACAATAGACGTAGGACTTGCTTCCTAATTAGCATCCGAACCACTTTAAAAACGCTTTTCTCATTGTATTTATTCTCTTTTTCTTACATTCACGTGTGTCTTCTGAGCCAGCTCAACATTTCACACGTGCGTTTCGTTGGTGTAAAGATCACGCATCAACAAATAGTTTATAAAGTTTTGGTCACATGACTTTTCTTAAATTTTTATGTTTTTTTTAATCAAATTTTTAGAATTTCTTATTTCAATTTTTAAGTTTTGTTTTTTTTTTTTTTTTCATATTTTTGAGTTTCATTTTAATTTCCAGATTATTAGGTAATTTCTTTTTTTTTCAGACTTATTTTCAATTTTAAGTTAATTTAATTTTTTTAAATTCCTTTTTTTTTTTAAAGGATATACTTTAAATAAATTTGTATAAAGTTTTAAAGTATTCAAAAAAAAAACTTTAAGGGCATTTCAGACATTTCAAAGGTCAAAAACAGCCAACACCCCAAAAGGTTTGGAGTTGAAAAACTTCAAGGACAATCTAGATATTTCGCAGGTAAAACATAGGCAACATCCCATTTAACAGCCAAAATTGACGATAAGGGGTTTAGTTTTGGAAGTTTCAGGGAGTGTATAGGGGAATTAACCCATAATTCAAATGCTGATAGCGATGGCAATTTGTGGGTTACAAAACAACCCACCCCGACCCAAACAAAGCTCACCTCGACCTAACCCACATTCATATTTATTATGGAAATGGATTATAAGTCTTATCATCATAATAGATTTAAAAATAGTTAATTTTAGTTATAATTATACAATTTAATTGATTAAAATATTTAAACCAACATTTGTTTATTTTTAAATAATTATTTTTTGGCATGGTATCAATTATATTATTACAAATAAGTAAATGTATATATTTTTATTATTTATCTAGTTTGTTGCAAATAAATAAGTTTATTTCTCCAATAATTAAATTTTAAACTTAATTTACGAGTTGTTTGTTAAAAAGATAAAGGAAAGTAACTTTTCATGTAATAGTTAAAACTATATTTTAAACTATTATTAACGAAATTAATTAATTCATATTCAGGTTATTATGTGAAGCAAGCTTGAGGATCTAATTTGACATATTTCAATGAATTAGGATGAAGGTAACATTTTATAATCCAATTTCATTAACTTTAATTCACTCTTTATTAAATATTCATTTACAAAAAGTCTTACCATTTATACTAATCAAATAGAACATGGCATAATCAAGATTAAGATCTATATGTCTAATTGCCAAGATGTGAAATTTCAAGTTTTAGTTTTGATATTTACATATAAATTTTAAATTTCATGATGTAATGCTGAATGAGTTATAAATGAAAGTCAACCCTTTAATGACTTGATAGTAGTTACTACCTTAATTTAAGTAAGCAACACAACGTTTTAATGAATAATTATGTCTCTCTTATATGAATCTTTCTTATAAATAGCATTTATTATTATCATAAGTCCTAGAACCCTAAGATATGACTTTCTCAACACATAGATGAATAAAGTCTTATTCATCATATTTATGGGAAATGAATCTTTTTGTAGGGCATAAGTCCCAATATATCGCATAGTCACTTGTTCCACAAGCTTGCTTCTCCAAATGTGTTTGATAAACACAATTTAAAAATGAATTATTGCATAATCTATTTTACTCAAGTACTTCAAAAGCAACATTTTTTAGCTTTTAGATTTCAAAAATTGCTTTTGTGGGAGTTAATTACAAAAATACCCCAAAGTTAAATTATAAATTTGTTTTATTTAAAGTATTAAAAACAGAAAAAGTTGAAAATTGGTTGGTAGAGTTGCTGATTGTCTTCGCCGACGATGAGTAGGTCGACATCGTCGGCACCATTACACTCACTAGCTGACAATCTATGCAATCGTGTCATTATCAACGATGTTGTTTTACCGCAGCGAGCCGACAAACTTCTATCGAAACTTTACCAACCAATTGTGGCGAAACATCACAGTATTTTGACGACACCACCAACACCATTATGTAGATCGTCGGTCGATGGATGCAATAGTGTTGGAGGTGTTAACTCACTCACTGTCAGCGAATATGCTGACGACAGTGGTTAGCCATCGCTAAAATGTTGGCCAGATTCTAACTTTTTAAAAATTTTAACTTTTCACTTATAAGAATTAATTTTTAATATAATTAATAATAGGAAAAAAAAATTAAAAATACTTGTTTGATCTTTTTGCACGGGTTATGTATCATTTGTTAAAATCAAATTACAATTTAACAAAATAATATTATTTCTAAAGTTAGTCTATAAGTGATTATGGTATAAGTTAAACAATCCCAAACTAAACCTAAATCTTAGAGTGGTGTATTTTTTTTCCCCTTTTATTGAGATTGTGGTTGTAGGGGACAAAAAAAGAACAGACTCTTGTTCCAAAAAAAAAAAAAAAATGGTACTTAAGGAAATTTAGTTTTAATTCTTAAATTTGGGTTATTGGGGTGAGGTAAATTTGACAAAAATGAGTGATAGGAATCCATGGAAAAACACAAACCCATTAGCCTCCAAATAGTGTTGCCTTTACTGTGAGTCAAACATGGCGATTATGTTGAAAATTCCTTCGAGAAGTCTTAAGCAAAGACTTTTTTAGCTTGTGTCATGACAAAATTTTACCAAAAAAAAAGGCTTTGTGATAAGTGTTAGGCACAAGTTTAATGATAATAATATAAAAATGAATTAAGTAAGAAAAACATTATTGAGAGAAGCCAGCTAGTCAAGATTCTAAACCACTCCACATCATTTTTCCTCCTTAGGGTCAAATTTGCCATCTTCCTCAACAAAGACTTCTTACCTATGCCCATGCCCCAAACCCTAACGCCACAATACCCAATTCCGGCGTTAAAAACTAACTAGTATTTGATCAATAGATTACACGACCATATCCTCTCAAAATTTTATTACAACCCAATTTACAAATCATTAAAAAAAAAAAAAAAAAAAAATCTATATTGTATTTACAAACCCTTAATAATTTCGAAACAAAAACGGAAAAAACGAAAACGAAATTGTGGAAATGTGATTTACCTTGTTTTTACCGGGTTGGGAATACCGTTATTCATTCATCCATCCCAACGACCATTTACTGACACCAAATCAAGACCGGGAATTATCGGGACCCCACTCACTTGCCCTAACCCACACGACGAAATACGAGTCCAACGCTCCAGATCATACCACGTCATCCGCCCATGCATCAGATCTCCTACCAGACGTGAACCGCTTCATTCCACCTAAACCTACCGGTTCGCCATCAACGCTCTTACGCGCTTCACTCTTCCTCGGCGGCGCGTCTACGTCACCCGGCGGCAAACGCTCCCTTATATCGTGACTCATGACTTTCCCGCCATTTCTTGATGGCGAATCTCTCCAATCCCCTGCTTGAGTTTCACTCTTTGCTCCTCTCTTTAAACCGGATCCGAAAATTGCACGAAATTTGGAGAACAACCCGGCTTTTTCTCTTTTCTCGGGTTTTTTTTTTAGAGTTCCTGATTCAGAAGCAGAGCGTTGGCGGTGCTTCAATCTACGGCGATCCCTCTTGGATCTCACTCTTCCCATGCAAGAAACATTGGGAGAAGACGGCTCAGTAAGTGTAGCATCCGATTTGAGAGTCGAACCGGAGCGTTTCGGGAACCAACGGGTGTTTACCGGTTTACAATTCCGCTTACTTTTAGTATCGACAATTGTTTTCTGCGGCTTGGGCAGGCCAATAATGGAGGGTTTGGGCTTCAAAGTGGTGGCAAATCTCTGTGAAGTTGAACTGGGATTGGGATTAAGACTGGTTGAGTTTGAGTTACCTTTCTGAGATTCCTTACGTTCATAGAAGGCGTTTCGGTCAAACCAGTCAAACTCAGCGTCTTTAGAGAGCCAAAAAGATTCGGGCGGGAAATCGGCCGGAATCTCGGGTTGATCAGGTAGTTGATTATCTGGCTTGTTGTTATCGTCTTTGTCGGTGGCTAAGGTTTCGCAGGCGATCTTATTGTCGCAAGAACCGCCTCCGGCACAGGCTGAGACTAGGGTTTCAAGATCCACTTGTGGCATATCTTCTTGAGAAACAGAGAGAGAAGAAATATCGGCGAAGAAGAAGAAGACGTTTTTTTCTGCGTTGTGGAAATTGTTTTGTTTTGTTTTGTTTTGGAGGGAGAGTGTCTTTTTATTTCTTGCTTTCTAACTTGTTGACCCTGTGGTGGTGTCGGGTTGGATTGTTTTTGTTTTTTTCTTTTCTTTTCTGAAAACAGTTTCTAAAAGGAATTATAAAATTAATCTTTCCGTCAAAAGAATACTAAAGTGCATTTTGTGATTTAAAACGTTGTCAAACTTAATACATGTTTTTTTGTGTCCATCCTCTAACTGTTTTCCTTTATTTACTCTTTTTAAATGCCCAAATTACCCTTTTCCTATAACATTTCACTTTGAAAATTGATGGTTACTACAATATTAGTATTTCAAACTTAAAGGGTTATATTGTTCTTAAAAATATATATCGTGTAAGCCCATTTGATAACTACAATAAATGTATGGAATATTTTCTTAAAAGAACCCACCCTTTTTTTAGGCTGCAAATTAAAATTTAACCTCTTCTTCGTTGGCTTAATAGATAAAACCTTTCATTCACTTTTACCCTCTTCACTCTAGCAACTAGGAAAGACATGAAAACTGTAAAGGGGTAAAATTGGTACAAAAAAATGGATGAAAGATCTTATCTATTAAAACCAAACCAATTAAGACAATGCAATATCGTAGTTTGTCCCAAAAAAAAAAAAAAGTCATTATCATTCTAATGTATATCATTAGCTTCTAAAATAAATGGGGTGAAATTGATTTTATTTCATAGATAAAGGGTGGGAATGTAATTTGTTAATTATTGATATTTTTATAATGGAACGACCAGCTTAATATTCCTTGTCAAATTGGTTACATTAACATGTCACACCTATAATGTTTCTAGATCAGTTATGTTAATTCACTGATTATTATTCTAATGTATATATTTTTATCTAGAGATCTAGAAATATCATACAGAATAATTGGCTTTGAATTTTGTAACATAAATTCATGGTCATTAACCCAATAAAATCACATGAATTTTGATGAATAATCATAAGTTTATGTTATACTTTTGATTTGAATAGATCCAAGTAAAGTTAATTTATATTTGTTAAATGGTATCTATAAGATCAACAACTGAATCATGTCAGATACAACTAACTTTATAAAATATAATTTTACTGGAGATTAATTATTGTTTTGGTTGATAGGATTCTGTTTTTGGACATGGGGTTGATGGGATTCTGAATACAAAATAGATGAGGGTAAATTAATAGGACTATATAACCTGATTAAGAAATCAAGGTAGATTGCAGATTACTCAAGGTATTAATTATTAATTGATTATTATTTTAATACAACTTAAGAAGAATCGCTTCTATTTAATCTGCATGTTCAATCTTGGACTAATTTAGTCATCAATGACGCTTTCTTTTTTTTATTTCATCTCCTCTATAATAATAATAATAATAATATGTATTTATATTTTTCTTTGTTTTTGGATTATTAGAAAATGGATTAAGGGGGGAAAACGGAGTTGTGGTTCCAAGTTCCAACAAATGGAGAAAATTTAGCTGACCGGCCATCCCAAGTTTCGATTTAAGAAAATGGCCTTAAAACTGTTTTTCATTTTTTTTTAATTTAGAGAAGCTGACGTGGCACAGTTAGGATCCATTAAACATGTAAAATGGGTTAAAATAAAAAGATTAAAACATATAAGGACAAAATCATAATTAATGATAGTTTTTAAAATTTGAAATTTGAAAAAGAGCCCCACCCATTCAAATCGCTTAATCGAAACCAATTAAGGCAAAAATCGATATCTTCAATACCTAAACGCATTCTGTGCAATTTCCGGCAATAACAGTCCACATTCCTGCAAATTTTCACACCCAAATTCAATCCTAAAGCTTCTTCCTTTCTTAACACCATGGTTGACATTCACAATGAGGAGGAAAACCCAACGCCTCTTCGAATTGTAGAGTCCGACGGCGCAAGCAGTTCAATGGCTGCTCCGGCGATCACAACAGTGAAGGTGTCAGCAGCGGAGACGACGGCGGCACAACAAGAGAGAGAACAGGAGCAAAATGGTTCTGAAGGGAAGAGGGGCGGGCAGAATTCAGCCAGGAAGAGGAGTCCAGTGAGGTTCAGGCAGGAGGAGGAGGCCGCGGAGAAGGAGGCCGCCGAAGAAAAGGTATTTGTACTTGCCGAGACCTAAGATCGCTTAAGCGATCCTTTGTATCGCTTAAGTGATTGATGGCTTTTACTCTTGGTCGCTTAAGCTATTTAGGATTGCTTAAGAGTAAAGCGATTAATCGCTTAAGCGATACAAAGGATCGCTTAGCGATCTTAGATCGGGGCAGATATTGATTCTGCCTCGGAAGAGATCGCTAAGTGACCAAGAGTAAAATCGACGAATCGCTCAAGCGATTTCAAATCGCTTAAGAGAACTTGTATGAGGCAAAATCATAGTCATCGCTTAAGCGATTCTTCGGAGCGTATTTTGTTTATTTGGTTAATTTTTTTGCTGATATTTTGTTTATATCGATTGTGCAGATTTCCGAAGCGTAAACTATAGAGAGTACGGATTGGAGTATGTAAGCGATACGGTACCGTACTTCCCTATGAGGGTGACAGTGAGGTCAAGTGGGATGTTTTAACGAGAAAAACGGGATTTTAGGGACAGTGAGGAATGGTGAAAGGAGTTCAAAGAGAAGTTTCAGTCATTTTTGGGATATCGACACAAAATGGAAAAAGACATTTGGGGATCGGGAGTGCATTATATGTTGCTGCACTCAATAAAAACAACAAAAAGCACAATGTGGTTCGTAGTGGTGGAAAACCACTACGTTTGGGATGATGGAATATGCGTTGGTGACTGGTAAGATGTGGGAATTGCCAGGTGAGGTTGAGGAAAAAAAGATAAAGGACAGTACGAGAGCCAAAGGTTGTCTAACAAGGTTTTGGTGGGGAACACGTCTATTAAGGCACAGGAATTGAGGACAGGTTAAAAGATGGTGAGTTTAACGATCAGAGACGTTTCAAACTGTGCTTGGTATTGTTCTTACATTCGATCCTAATGGTGGTGACTCAACAAAAGCGTTGATATTGATTGGGTGAAGTTTGTAAGCAACTTGAACTTTTTAATATTATCGTGGGGACGGGTATCATTTAAGCGAAACCATGGAGTCCCTGCAAGCCAAAGACCCGCGTTAAAGCACTCCCAAGGGCAAGAGAATAAAGCGCCACGTACAATTTGTTTGGTTCCCATGGGCAATGCAGGTAAATATTAATAGGTTTTTGTTATATTTTTTAATATATGTGTTTGAATTATGATATGGACTGTTTTTTTTACAATGTAGGCTTGGATTTATGAGGCATCCGTGTCCGGCTAAGGCAGGGGGAGGTAGGGCTTTGGTTGTGTAACAGACATTTCTAGGATGTTGCGGTGGCCGACCATAAGTTTACCCCTTGGGATTAGAGCAAAGAGATTGAAATCAATCAGCTCGCGGTAAGATAAGGATTAAGCTTTTGAATATGCACTTGCTTTAAAATGTGCTTAAATCTGATTGATTTTGTTTCTTATTGCAGGGGGTTGTCTCCCTTCCTCACCGCTACTGGGGGTGAAGCGCAACAGCACTATGTCCCATCTTTCGAGCAATGAAGGATCAAAGGGATGAAGGGATAGACCGCCTGACGCGGGAGCTACAAGAGGTCACACATGTGAGGGCAGTTGTAGGGCCACTATTTGATGTTAGTAAACGGTCCCATAATGCAGCGGAAACAAAACAAATATAATATAGAGATCGTTTACATGAGCCAAGATCAAGGGTATAATTTTACAATTCTATTAAATAAAATCTGCAGGAAAAATAAATTGAGTTTAAAGAAAACATACGCAGTTGGAGGCTCCTCAAATTTGTCAACGAATGTTTTCTACTGATCCAGTATAGGATCGAACCTGCGTAGTCCACACGAAGACAATCTCAAAAAACCAAAGAGGGATTGCTAGATCCTCTTTGGCTTCAAGATAAGAAGAAAGCAAATCAATAGAATTGATTTTAGGCCAAAACCCAAATCTGGCATGGGAGGAGATGGGGCTGCTGTGTGTGTTTTAATTTCAAAGAGAAAATCAATTCATCAAATTAATTACACACACTTTTCCTTTTATAATTAATTAAGTTGCCCTAATCTATATGGAATAGGTGGGCTCCAACCCAAACGCCCATGTTGCCAAACACTCCAATTTGATTTATTTTATTTTCCATCATTATCTCAATTAAAATCAATTAAATATATTTAAATATATATTAACATAACAATAATGATAATAATTAAATATGTGCGAACACACATTAAATGTAATTCACTTATTTAATTTTTCTAACAAATTAATAAAGGCTACGACCTCAGCAAATTTAATTGCATTGTGAAATTACAAAAATACCCTTTCGCCTTAAAAGACAAAAACGCCCTTTTTCTTCTTGGATCTTAAATTGTCTTCTATGTGTGTGACCCATAGGCTCCTCATCATATCGGCAGTGTATAGTATCGCGATTAATTCCAATTAATCGTCTCACCAATACACAGACCAAGATTGGCTCCTAGCAAGGCATCATGGCCACCCAATAGATTCGAATTTAGCAAAGTGGCTACCTGTCAACAATATGGTTACCGTGCAATTCGATCCTTTCATCATAGTTATCTTGACGAGATGAAGGCATAGAAATAGTGTCAACCTTCGGTTACTCTCGATATTATTTATTCAGTTTCTAGACCAATGACCGTATTATAAACTGGATAGAGCAACAACTCAATCCCACTGTGGCCACAATTTTAGTGTCATTGCCATTTACTGAATTGCGCCGTGAGATAACTTTTCCCATACCGGGAGTGATGAATCCTCTGTCAATCCACCATAGTCTTGATACACTCCTTGATGCAGCCAATCACCACGTATTGACAGCTCTGAAAAGAACTGCGTTAGGCTAGTGTCACAATCACCAATCGGTGCACAAGGCGCTCTGGTGATCTCAAGTCTAAGGATCACATGCACCACCATTCATTAGAGGATTTGTTCCATAGACACTAGGGTACCATCCATATGGAATCCTCTGGTGGTCAGTCCAGTGAACTTGATACAG